CGGAGAGTTTCCACCGGATGCAAGAGCCTTAACCTGGACTACCAACAAGGCAGCCAAAAGAGCTCTGTAAGTGTACGACTTCATGATGGCGATAAATGAGTTATATCTCAGTAATCCTATAGCTAGCTATTGATATAGGACACGTTAAACAATAGAATGAATAAACATGAGGTAATCTCTTACTGAGAAATGTCAAACAAAATCAAAATGACAGGAAAATAAAGCATTTTTTCGGAAATAATTAATCCAATATTATAAAAAAAGGTTTTGGATTTTAAGCCCGCAGATTCAAAATATACCTCGTATAGTATGCTGATATGAGAATTTAAGAAATTTATAGTCAAATAATTCAACACCTTTCTGAAGAGCAAGGTACATTACAATATCAAAGAACAGAATTACTGCATTCAGTCTGAAAATCTTGTAACTTCAAAAAAAAAAGACCATTTTTTTCTTGAATAAAATACCTCGAGTAAAATGACAAAAGCGACCGGTAGTCGGTCTATCAGGTCACCTGTGTATGGGCAGGTTTTATCCCTTTTTCATTCCAATTCAGTTGCCTCTTCAGTATATCAAAGCGTCTTATATTCTTATATAGATTTGACTCATTAGAATCAGACTAATCTCTAGTACTTTGACTACAGTAAGGACATGGAATAGCTGCAAGAAATATAAACAGCTTTTGATATCTTCCCTTTCTTTCAATTCTGTTTCCTGAAATAACTGAGAAATTCAGTTTTTTTTTAGTAGATGACATAGCTAGTCATGGTACTGCGCTTACGCAAGGGAAGCACGCCATAAACGTTAATTATGTCATTCGAAAGACAAGCTTTCATTCCTTTTTTCCGTCTTCTGGTTTTTTTTGGCTCTCATCTTAACATCCTGTATTTTCCAATGCGTGAGCGGGATTGTTATTCTTCGAATCACTTTTATTAGTTTCAGAGGAAATTAATTAACAATCAACTCAGTTAAAAACATGAAGATAGAAATATAGATAAGTTATAGTGCTTGTGAACGAGGTTATTCCGGGCGAAAGCCCTTGGAATTAAATTCGGAAAAATTAATTTCCGACCTCGCTGGGAGTCGAACCCACGACCTTCGGAATTGTACTACCGATGCTCTACCAGCTGAGCTAGAGGTCAGACAGAGAGCAGGCCTGGGTGAAATAGATGTTAGGTCGCGGTAATTATGATGCAAAGATGAGAATAAATCAGTTAAAAACAAGGAAGTGATAACCAGTGTGTTCAAATCAGTGCAATAGGCGACTTGCACTAAGAGGTCACGTGATTAAATCCGCTATCGTGGCTGGCTGTACAGCATTTTAGCTATGCGAGGAATGTAAAAAAGGATGGCGGATTCGGGTAGTTTTTTTGGTGATAAGGTAAGTTAGCGCACTAAATGACGATAAAAATTCATAGGATAAAACACTTTGTAGGTCTTCACATCGTATCGCAAAAAAATGTCACATTTTTTTCTTCCCTTGGAGAATTAAAAGCAAAAATCTACTTCATATATCAACTAAGAGTATATTTCTTGCAAGAAAAAGGGATTTTTGTCCTTATTTAGTGCGCTAACTTGCCTTTTGTCACCAAAAAAACTAGCCTGATATACCAATGTAAAAGGGAACTACGTTGTTTCGGCTGTGAAAATATTAAGATTTAAACGAGTAAATCGGCCTAAGATTTCAGTTGTCAGACCTTCAACAGACAATGTAATAATGATAACAATAATGATAATAATAATAATGATAATAATAATAATAAATAAATAATAATAATAATAATAA